TACTTGGAGAATTCTGCTCTCATGAAAGTGTCTGCTTGGGGGAGGAAATGCCTCCGCTTAGCCCGGGCCCTAGCCCAGCAGCTTGCAGCAGAGTGGCTGCAAGGCTCCAGGAGCCTGGGCCAGGCGCGGACCCGGTCTGCTCGTTCTCCCTGGCTGGTTGGGCTTGTTTATACCCCTCTTTCTAGAGGGATCTGAGGTGGTTCCCTAAAAATCAGTAACACAGAGAGATCCATGAATTGGATTACAAAGAGGGAGACAGCATTAGAAAGAGGAGAAGCGAATGAGCCAGCCTCGAAGGATGGTGCCAGAGGAGGGGAGCTGGGGGACTCTGTCACACCTCTTGTCTGAGAAGGGCAAGCACACGTGTGCCTTGGGGAGACGTGTTCTGTCCTAGCACGATGCTGAGAAGAAGTTTCACGTGGGCACGACGATGAGGCCCCGGGCTGAGCAAGGAGAGGTCCCCAGCAACCACTGATCCCCAGTAAACGCAAGGCAGGCTGGTCCTGACAGGTGGACTCCTGACGGGATCGGACGGTCAGCCTCTGAGCGGCACCTGGCGTTCCTGTTCTGGAAGGAACAGCAGTACCGATGAGCAGTTGACACAGAGCGCTTTCACCTCCCGTCTTAGGTTGGTTCCTTGGAAGCAGAGCTTCAGCCGGGAATCGGGTCCCAGAGATTAGGAGGCCCTTGGGAGAAACCTGTAGGAAGTGAGGGAGCAGACAGGCCAGGGAAGGAGCCCTCAGCCTAACCCAGGGGGGCCCAGCAGTGTGAAGAGCACCTGGGATTTGACCCCCCAGGCCCAGGTCAGCTCCAGAACCCGTATCGGCCAGTCCCTGGCTGTGGGTTGCCCCGGGAGGAAGGGGCAGGGGAGCTGTGCCAGGAGCTGGGGAACGGGCTTCCACGGGTGGGGCCCCAGCAGCCCCGCTTCACATCCATTTTCTCGTGGGACCCTTGCAATGGCCCAGGGAGGCAGCCAGGCCAGTGACGACTGTTCATTTCCCAAATGAGGCGACTCTTGTCAGTGGAGGAGCCAGTCTTGGGCGAGTTCCTCCGACCCCAGACCCTGCGTCCCGCGCTCCTCCCCTGGGCCACGCGCACCACGCTCCCGAGGCCTTCCCGGTTCAAGGGCAGGATGGGGCCCAGGGAGACGGGAGTGAGGAAAACAGCCTGTCCTCCTGAGGGCAAGACGACCAGGAGAAAGGGGGCTGCCGCTGCCTGCTGTCGGCCACGGCACCCCAGTCTGCCTTGCCCTTGGCCCTGGGCTGCCTGCTCCAGGCTGGCACTTGAGGAGGGGACGGAGCTCATGGCCCAAGGCTCGGCAGGGTGGGTGGTGGCCGGCGTGCACAGAAGGACGAGGCCGAGTCCGTTAAGTTAATGTGAGGTTCCCGAGGGGGGATTTGGTTTTCAGATTGCAGCTCAAGGCAGAGGTGCCCTCAGCTGGCGAGGGGCTGCGTCCTCCTCGGCCTCTTCACAGTGAGGGCGCTTGGGGCTGGTTGTGGACGGCGGGTGTGGATGGGAGCCGGGCCCGGCCCTCGGGGTGCTCTCACTACCCGGGTCTGGTGGGCCTCTGTCTGCAATGACGGCTGCACAGAGTTCCAGCGGGGCTGAACCCAGGGCCTGGCCAGGGGCCTGCCACCCAGAAGGAGGGGATGGGAGCAGATATCTGCACAGAAGGGCTGTGCAGAGAAGGGGCCGTTGCTTCTGACTTGGGGAGGCTGGGTGGGTGGGCTGAGACACTGCTGCCTGTACCTGAGGCCTGGCAGTTCTGATGGAAGCAACTTGACTTTCAGGGGCTCCATTCCAAAGTCGCTCCAGACTCTAGGACTGGGGTGCTGAGCAGTGTCTCCAGCCACTAGCCTGAGGCCAATGGATGGTCCTGAGATTTGCTACCTGGTCAGGCTCGTGCCCAAGTAGGCGGCCCATCCCTGGGCCAGGGCCGGGTCTGGCATAGGGGGGACTGTCTGTCCCAAAGCAGCCATCTCACCCTGGAAAGATGTTCACACAGTGCTTTGAACTTGTTCGAAGCTTTGCAGCTTTGCCCAGACGTTTTTGAGGGCACACAGGCCTCCAGGCCTCCAACAGGCCTGTGCAGCATTCTTGCATGGGAGCTGGGCTTTGGGGAGCACGAGCCGCCAGGAGAGGCTGGGCGGGACCCTGCCCCCAGGGCCGTGCCCTGGATGCCAACACAGGATGGGCCCTCCTGGGATGGAGCCTGGGCAGGACACACACACTGCCCCTTTGTGCAGGTCACATTCCTCCCCGGCAGGTGGGGCGTGCCACCGGCTGGGACATTCAGCAGGTTTTCACTGTGGCTGAAACAGCTGAGTTTTGAGTCAACAACGTTTTCAACGTGACACTGGCTTTGTAGCCAAGGGGTAGGTGCCTTGGAGGACTGTCAGAGGGTGGGGTTCAGTGGCATCCTGGGGTTTGCTTGTGACAAACATTCACCAACCAAACCTTGCAGCTTCTTGCCCTGCTGCAAAGCAAAAAGGACCCAGTTATTCCAGACTTTCAGAACGGGGGTCGCCCGGGTGCCCTTCGCCCAGCCCTTATTTGTCAGGTGGGCCAAGGCCCAGAGGTTGGAAGGTCTTGTCTGAAGCCATCAGGCCTGTGTGTGGCGGAACCCAGGACTGTAACAGCCTCTCTGACCTCAGCCCTCGCCAGGGCATGCTTGAGGCAAAAGCGGCGTCTCTGAAAGGTTCCCGCAAGCTGGGGTCCCCAGCACCCTGCTGCTGGCTGGCTGCAGTTTAACATGACTAGTGCCCAGACACACGCCGTCACGTTTGCCGTGAAGTCAGGCACCCGCCTGCACCTTAGTTAATGCATGTTCGTGGGGCTGAGGGCATCAGGGTCTCGGCATCCCCTGTGACCCATTCACAGCACGTTGGGTTTACGTTGGGCATTATTATTTGTAACGGGTCACACTGCCATTCGCGGAAATTCCTTACACACCGCTGCTTCTGTAGGCCCGGGCTGAGCCATCCTCCCTCTTCCTTGTCTCTCTACCCAGTTCTCCTTTCGTCCTGGCTCAGGTCTAGGCCAGTCAGGAGAGTGGCTGGGAGGCAGAAGGGGGCCCAGGGACCCTCCCGGTGCAGGCATCTGGGGCCTCTGCCCACACACAGCGTTAGGTTTGTGTTCTGACCTGAGGACACGGAGGCTCTTGGGGGCCATTTTGCACGAGGACCTGCATCCGGCCCTCTGCTGTGGCAGCGGAGGGAACATGCCCTGTGAGGCCTGGGGCCTCAGCGAGCCCCACGTGGCCCAGGAGGGGCACCGCGAGGGTCCCCAGTCTGGCTCCCACCACGACCTTGGCCAGCATCTCAGGTCTGATTGGTGGCCCAGCCCTTCTTTCCTCAATCCCAGAGCCCCCCACTCCGCCAGTACCCCAGCGTCCCTTTCTCAGTTAATCGAAGGATTCCAGGACGAGCAAACCCATCAGAGCGGTTTCCGCCGTGGCGCCGGCGGGGACGGTGAGCGCGCGCGGCAGGTCCGGCCACTTCCCTCTAGAGAGGGTGCCTTTCGTTTTCCATCCGCCAAGCCTGGTGCAGCGGCTTGCTCGCTGTGACAGCCGCTGGTCACCTTTATTTCAAAGTGACATACGGACACTGCCGCCTGTGAAAGGACGGGGGCCCTCAGGACAGGCCTGTGACCTTGGCATTGGCAGACGTGCGGTGCTCCCCACGCCCCCAAGTCCCCAGCGTGTGCAGGGAGGAAGCCAGAGCCCGGACTCCCTCCTGCTGCCTTCGACACACGTCTCTCCTGTCTCGTCCCGAGAAGGCACAGCATTGCTGCTGGTCCTGTTGGGGACCGGTGGGGCTGGGCCGTGGGCACCCTCGTCTGCATAGCCCTCCGTCCTGACTCTGCTCAGCTGGGAGAGCTGTTGTGTAGCTGAACCCGTGGGTGCGTTGTGCCGGGCCTGCCCCCTTTTGTGAGTGGGTGGCCCCAAGCGCCCTTGGGCCGTGTTCAAGCTCTGCCCGCCACGGGCAGGCCCTAGGCTGCCTCCTCCAGGCTGGCCCCTTGCAGAGGCAGAGCCTACGGGTGCAGAGCCCTGGGCAGCCACATTCTCTCACCGGGGCCTCAAAGGGCCCTGTGGGACAGGCAGGGACCATCACTCGCCTCTTACAGATGAGGCAGCCGAGGCCTAGGGAGGCTGAGGGGTGTCTCCGCGGCCCCCAGCTGTGAGCCTGGCCCCTTCCCCAGCAGGGCTGCAGCATCCGTCACCTGAGTGCCTGTTGAGAGCACAGGAGCCCAGGGCTCACGTGGAAACCGGCCCCCTGGGTGGCTGTGATGTGCACCACGTGGATGTCAAGCCAACCCTCCTGGCCCATGTCCCCTCCTATCACGGCGACAGGGTGGCATGGGCACCGTGCCCCCTTTGTGCAGCAGTGCGGCCTGGCGGTGTTTCCGTTTGCGTCAGTAAATCCACTCCTGCCGTGTTCTTCTAATGGCTAAAGAGGCTTCCCTTGTCTGAAAAGACATGCTTTATGGAACCCTTATCGCAGGGAATCTGGGTCACTTTCTTCTTTTCAATTTAACAGCGTGACGAGGAATGTTCATGTCACTGAATTTCTGCATGCGTCCGGATTGTTTTCTTCAGATAAAAATTCTAGAAGTGAAATTGCCTGATGAAGTGTTCAGATCCGTTTTCAGAAAGGCTGTGTGTGAAGGGCTCTGGGCATGCCCCTGCTCCCCCCACCCCACCGCAGTGCCCCCAGAACTGGTTGTTAGCAAGCTCGTCCTCTTTGCCAATTTGCAGATGAATAACTGCACCTCGCTTTTTCTTTATTAACATGGTGTTCACCGGCCAGGGGTATTTCTTCATACGTTATCCTTGTCCTTGACCAGGTCGGGGAAGCGGCCGGGACTTGGGTGGTCTTCTGCTGCCCGGCGGGCCCACCAGCAGATAGCCCCAGGGGCCTGGGCCTGGCTGGCTGGGGCGTGCGGGCTTTCGGTTCCAGGAACGTGACCCTGAGTGACGTGTGTGTCTGTCTCCCCCACAGAACTGTCAGACCTTCAGCAGCCTCAGCTGCCTGAGCGCGGGGACGGAGGACCGTGGCCCTCACAGCCCCTTCGCCCTCCACGTCAGCAGCACCAGGTCCTGGACCGCCTTGCTCTCGGCCTCCGGCACGGGGGGCAGGACCCCCGCCGGGACCCCGATCCCCGAGCCTCTGCCCCCGTCCCTGGACGACCACCCCGCCTGCCAGGAGGAGCCGTGCTGCGAGGAGGCGGGTGGCTGCGCCCTCGGCGAGGGCTGTGGTGGGCGTGGGGAGCCGGGCACGGCCTGGCGGGACCACGGGGCTGTCTGCAATAGCCCCTGCTCCCTGGACGGCGAGCTGGACATTGAGCAGATAGAGAACAACTGAGAGGCCCCGGCTGGCGGCGGGGCGGGCAGGGCAGGGGGTGCGCTAGAATCCATAGGCCTCCCGCCACCTCTCCCCCCACCCCTCTCCCGCCGGGCGCCTGGCCGGGCCCGCGGTGCAGGGTCTCAGCCTTTCACCAGCACCGCACCCACGCTCCGTGGAGCTACCACGGCCGGGAGAGAAGCTTCTTGGTTTCGGTCTCCTTCCCCCTCTTTCCTGTGGGATGTCGGCGCAAGCGTCCCACCGTCCCCGCTGGGCAGTCCCGTGGCGCTGCGGCAGGGCTGGCCCGCTCTGTGTGCTTCCGCCCGGGCTCGGGTCCCTCCTCTGGGGTCACGGCCCTTCTCGGCCTCCTGCTCAGGTTCAGTGGGGGGGGGAGCTGGCCCACAGCGCCCTCCCTCCCTCAGTCGTATTCCGTGCCTTCTCTCCCAGGCCTCCCACCTGGGGCCTGGGCGGGGTCGGGAGACGCTTCCTTCCGTGGTGACACCAGAACCGTTTAGCCTTAATGCCAAGTGCGGGGCACAGCAGCCCTGGGCTGCCGGGCGGCCTCCACATCTGGACTCTCAGGGTCCAGGGAATAACTCGGGGCGCTCGTTAGAGGCCGTCTAGCTGGGGAGACGTTTGGTGGCTCTGTTGGCCGCAAAGGCAGAGCCACGAGCCCCTCCTGCGGCGTGGACGGCCTGGCCCGGGCTCCTGCCGCTCTGGGGGCCGCTCTGGCAGGGTCGGCAGCTGGCAGCCACTCTTGTGACCAACCTGTCATGGAGTGTCAGGCGAGTGGAGCGATGTCACCGTAAAAGGGCGACCTCTTGAAAACGTCCTCAGGAAGCAGGACTTCTGTGCAGGCGCACAGCCCCAGGCCCTGCGCTCGTTTCAGGACGGAGGGCGTCTGCTGGCCGCTCTGGGGCCCCGCAGCCTTCACGCGCAGGCTCGTTGTCGGTGGGCCAGGTGGGCCGGGGAGCAGAGGGTGGCGAGTGCCTCTCCCCGCCGCAGGCATAGAGCGAGACGCGCGCGTACCCTCCCCGGCTCCGGGCCCCCCCGTCCCCCGCCCCCCGGGGTTGCCGAGGAGCCCCACCCCGCGACGTCTCCCTCCCAGACAGCTCCTCTCCAGCCCCGCTTGCACACATGCCCCCTGGGCTCTGCTGCCTTGGAATCTGGCTTTTAGCAGCTTGGCGCCTTCCTCAGACGATAGCAGTTGGGTCGGCTTGTGAGCGAGTGGCTCTTTTTCCCGTGAGGCTAAACACATCTGTGCGTTCTCTGGAGCTCGCTGCCGCGACAGAGGCTCTCTCGGAGTCACTCTGCCCCTGCTCATCTGTTCACGGCGGATGCCTCACCGCTGCAGGTCGAGTACAAGTGGCTCTCACTTTCTTTCCACTGAGGAGAGAGACAATGTTTGGGAAACTTTACTTAAACCTTTACTTTCTTACATCAGAAGCGAGGGGGCTCAAGTTCTCATTTATACTTGGCTTTTCTTAAAAGTCAGCCATAAGATGCTTGCAGAAAACCCCAACTCCGTGGCCCCCCAAGATTGTGCTGAAAGCCTCAGGTTGTAGAGCGTAACGGGTGTGCGGGCGCTGGGCAGGTCCCTCCAAAGGCACGTTCCCCTGGGGAGTCGGACGAGGCAGCCGGCGGCTCTGGTGGGGAAGGACGTCTCACCTGACCCCTGCTTGGTGGCTCGTCGTCTTAGAGCTGATCCAGAGGAGGCTGGGCAGCTGTTCGGTGGCGTCCAGCGACCAGCGTATGAATTCACAGAGTACATGCTGGCGCCCCTCGGCCTCAGAAAGCCTGGGGTGGGAGGTGTTGACACCTGGCCGCACCAAGAGTGGCCATAGGGGGCGCATGCAGGACAGCAGTCCTTCCTGGGGAAGGACAAGCAGGATCCCGCCTCCCTCACCCACCGACAGGGGCGAGACTCAGCCAGGATGGGCCTCTCCTCGGGGCTGGGAGGGAGGGCACATGGCGGTGGGTGGGTGTCACGGGCCTGTGGCGCAGGTGACGCCCTTGGACCCTGCCAGTCACTTCCCCCCCCCTTCCCAGGCCTGGTGGCAGGGAAGGACAAGCAGTGGCCCCATCGTCCCCACCTTCCCGCAGGCTGGTCCTGTCAACCCACAAGTCAGAAGGGATCCCAGCCCAAGGCAGGGTTTGGCCCTTTCCAGCCACCTCAGGCCTCTCTTGGCTGTTCTGCCCCAACCGAAGCTCCTCGCCAAAGCCCACGACAGCAGCAGGGAGGGGAGAGGATGGCCAGTGACCCCTCTCAGAGAAAGAGACGGCCTTCCAGTGGCTTCATGTCGGTCTTAATTGAAGGCAGCAGACCTCGTCTAGAAGGTGCTGCCACACCGCCAGAGGCCATCTGTGCTCTGCTCCTCTGGCACCGGGAATTTGGTCTTGGAGGGAGGCTGCCTCTGACCCCAGCGGGCTGCCCCTGGGGGGCAGCAGGCGGCCTGGTGGGCTCCCCGCAAGCCTCACTTCTGCTGGGGCCCTGCCTCTTGCAGCCCATGAACTCCTGCCTCTGAGGAAGTTCAGAGCGGGGAGGGAGGGCGGTGCCAGGCCGTCCGCCGGCCCCGGGGGCCCTGAAGGACTAGAACGGGGTCGTGGGTGGGGAGGGGGGGCTTCCTGTCCCGGGGCATCCCTGCTCACTCCAGAGGGAGCGCCTGCTAGAGCCGCTGGACTAACGGGCTGCTGCCTGTGAGGGCCGGGCCGGGCCGGGGGCCAGGGCCACAGCCTCGCCGTTTACATTACCGCAAACCCTCTTGCCTTACGGTGGAGGCCGGGGTCCAGCCCAGGGCCCACAGGCAGACACGACATCCAGGCCACAGGAGAGCTTGTTCTGATCATGCATATGAATTTTCATTCTCAGAAAGCCTTACTTTTCAGCAAAATTTTTGTAGCAGGAAAGTCTTGTGAATTTGTATGCGGAAAGAAAATTTAAATAAAGGAGAAGTCCACCTTAGAAAAATAAACAAACCCAACATCCAAATGGGTCTCCAGGCAGGGTTGGCGTGTTCGTTTCCGCGCTCTGGCTGGCACTGCCGGGGCCCTCAGCGCAAGCCCTGGGTGCCCCACCGCAGGCTCAAGTCGCGTGTGCTCTGGCCTCGGGGCCGGTCACCCGAACGATGACCGCTTCAGGCCCCGCGGCCTGGGGCGCGAGCGGTACCCCCCCACCCCGGCGCTGGGGCGGCAGCCCGGCCAGGGCGGTGCCTCCGTGTAGGCAGTTGTGCCGCGTCTTGCCACGACCACACAGTTGGCCCGACCCCTCCCATTGGTGCCAGAAAAAACCATTCCTCTTGAAAGAGAAAAAGATTAAAAAAAAAAAAAAGAAATCCCAGACCGCAGCGGAGATCTTGTAGCCTAGGTAGGATAGTCTGACCTTCTAGCATAGTCTCTTTGGCAAAGAAATTGTGTTTCAGTGCGGGGGTGGGCGATGCCCCGGGGCGCGGGGACGGCGAGTCCGCGGTTTCTCGGGCCGTGTGCGCTTTCCCAGCTGTACCTCGTGGGCACTGGGGAGCCTCAGGAAGTGTGGCGGCCAGGACGGGCAGTGTTGGGCCAGGCCCCTGCCCGGGGCGAAGCGCTGGGTGCAGAGGCGCTGGGTCTGTCCCCCACCTCCACCCACCGCAGCCTGTCCTCCGCACGGGCCGCGACTGTCTTGCACTAGAGCCGCTCTAGTCTCTCAGGAATTTGCTTGTTACTTTCACTGTGTAAATAAAGCTTCCTGGTTCAATACCCAGCTGCCGGGAGCCGGCTGTGTGCTTTCTGTTGGGTGTGGCAGATCGGAGGGTCCCCCCTCTGCCTTTGGGACCCTTCGCTCTGGACTGGCACGGGCGGAGCCTGGGCCCTTCTATCCCCTCCGAGCCGCAGGGTCAGGTCTGTAAGACGGGGAGAGTGGACATCTCAGAGCTGTCGAGAGGCTCAGGTGCAGGAGGCTGTGCACGACCACGCTGGGGGTGCTGTGATCGCGGGGGCCCCCAGCACCGGGACGGTTCGTACCTGTGTGTTCCGGCTGGAGATGCCTGCCATGCGAGGCCACGCAGCAGCTGCTCCAGGATGCACTGCTGCAGGGCGCCTGGCCTGGAGCCCTGTGGGCCTGCGGGGCCCCCTGCCCACCAGGGTCACCAGGGAGGGGGCGGAGGCTGGGACCCCACGCTCCTCCGAGGGCAGCACGGCTCAGATCTGTGCTGCTCGGGCCGAGGGGTCGCCAGCACTCACAGCTCAGCTCAGAGTGGGCTCCAGGGCACACGGTCCCTGTGCCTGGCCCCCAAGTCAGGGACCCCTCGCTAACCAAGCTCAGGAGACCAGGATGTTTGCAGCCTCGAGGACAGGCTTAGGGAGGCTTCTGTCATTTCTATAACCCAAGGTTGGCCCATATCATCTGACCGCAGAGGTTCTGCCTGGAGATCTGTTAGGTCCTGAGGGGATGCCCCCCTGGGAACGAGACACAAGAGCACCCCGTCCAGACTGTTATTGTTATCTCTTTAGCAGCCGTTCCTTCTTCAAACAAAATGGTCCGTGAACGTCTAGTTTATGAAGCAGGTGAAGCAAGGCTGCTGTGGCAGAAGCTGGGGGTGCGAGGTGCAGCCTTGCAGCCCCAAAGCCCAGGGGCCCCGGGACCCAGCCTCGTGTCCCCCATGACTGGCAGGGGAGGCTTCCACAGAGTGGCCCCGGATGGACCTACAGCCCTAATAGCTCCTTACCTGCGCCGCTCAGGTGACAACCCTGGCTGTGCTCGGGTCTGGACCTGGGGCTGGCGCCGGCCCTTCTGTTGGGCCATGGCCCGGGTGGAGCCTTATCTCCCTGGCTCAGCTCACCCAGTGGTGCCTCCCCTGTGGCAGGGGAAGGACACCGTCTTGGGCACAGGCTCTGGGGCTCACTGGGCAGCAGCTCAAATGCCCTGCCGTTGGGTCCAGCTGCAGGTCTCTGGGCCTGGCCCCGCTGTGGACCGCCTGCAGCTGACACGGGCCACCAGGACATACGCTGACTCCAGGCAGCCTCCTCATATGCAGACAGGGCTTGTAACACTCTCGGGGCTTAAATGAGAGAATCAACACAAAAAAAACCCCAGTACCACACTAGACAGTCCAGTCCAGACTGTGTTAAAACATTTATCTCCACGTGGAAAGAGGGGTGAAAGGAAATGCGTCCAGATACTAACAGTGGTCAGGCTCTGAGTGACCCGTGTGACTCCTTTGTAAACTTTTCTGTTCATGTTCCTATAGTAACATATTGCTTTTATAATCTTATTTTAAAAAAATCAAAACTTAAGAAAAAGTGAGATGATACAAAGTGTCCAGTTTGTTTCTCATCTAAAGCGGGACAGTTCTGAGCGGGAAGGCGGGACCTAGTGGATACCCAGGCTGGGTGGAGGTGGCACCGTGAGCGCCCAGCAGGCGCCCATGCGTGTCCCTCCCAGCGTCCCCACCCCTGTGCCCCTTCCTCCTGCCGCTGCCCGCCCGCTCCCCTGAGAGGCGCAGGCGTGGCCCAGCGGGTAGGCCAAGCCTTTGCAGGGACCTCGTTCACCTGATCTGAGGAGGAGAGAAGCGCCGCAGCTGTCTGGGCCCCATGGTGGGCACACACCTGCCGGCGAGGACTCGGACCCCTCAGCCTGGCTCCCAGCTCCCGGCAGGGCAGCGAGAGGATGGTGTGGATGCCCTCCTGGTGCCACGCCCCTCTCCTCTCCCGTGCGAGTTTGGCTGGAGCCGCCATTGCCCTGCCCCAGGGTCAGCCTGGGACTTTCTTGGGACCCGGATCCAGCCAGGCCTGGATTTGGAAGCCTCGTAGATGATAAACTCCTGCTGGATTAACCCAGTTTGAATCGGGTTTTCACACAGGGCTGGTACCATGTGGATGCTTGAGTTGGGAGATCTGGGGGTAGGTGAGGCCCTTGTGCCCCCGTCCTGCCCTCTCCTTTGCCCCACCCGTCCCTCCCCCTTCCAGCAGCTCTGCTGGGTGGCCCCAGAGCCTGGAGTGTCTGCTGGCCCTGTGGCAGATCTGGGGCGCATCTCCTGACCACAGACAGGTCCTCAGGCCACTGCCAGCTCTGAACTCCAGCCCTACCTGTGGCCTGTGGCTCCGTCTATCTCTGGCCCAAGAACTGTCCTGCTTGGGGGTGGGGAAGGAGGGTGGGCATCAGGCCAGGGCCCGACAGCTGGAAGGACCCAGGGGTGAGGCAGGTCATCCTCACTTCTGGGCAGCCCCCGGCGCCGCAGCAGGAGAGGGGTCAGCATCCCCAGTGGGGCGACGGGGCACCCTGGCCTGGCCGGGCCTGGTCCCCGGCAGGGCTCAGGGAAGGATGGGATAGCTGAGGTTTGGGGGTACATGGTGTCCCCAGAGTAGGGCTGGACCTCAATCCCGAGGCACATTTCATCTCCACTGGGAGGATGCCAAGGTGCTCCTCGCCTGGAAAGACAGCCACCGGGACCACCACAGGTCATCCCCTGTGGAGGGATCATGGAAGGGACTAGAAAGGGCATGGGATGCAGGGTCAGACCTTGATTTGAGCCTCGGCTCTATCCTTGCCAGCCGTCAGCCCGTAGGCAAGTCAGTTTCCCTGCACCTCAGTTTCCTTACCTGTAAAATGGGGAGATGACAGTGTCCACTTCACAAAACCCACAGCTCGGGGGGGCAGCGTGTTCTCCACCCAAAGCAGGGGTCTGCGCCTGCTGCCCGAGTCCCTCTCCGTCCTCACTCCTGGGCAGCAGCTCGCAAGGGGAGGCTCCACTTGTCCATGGAGAGCGGGACCCCCCCAGCCTCCTTCCTCCAGAACCATACTGCCCTGCCTGCAAGCCCCTGCTGAGGACAGCAGGCAAGGGCAGCCCACGAAAAAGGAAAGAAAGAAAAGAGGGAACAAACCCAACAGAAGGCTGCAGGCCCGTCCCCGCACAGTCGCCTTCCGAGCCCTGGTGCCTGCTGCCCACACTGCGCTGGTCACCTAACGAGCTGGAATTAGGGGACTCCGTCCAGGGGCAGGCCATCTGCATATCTGCCAGCTAACAGGCCAAACGCCCCTCCTCCCCTGCAAGCCAATGACCCGAGCCTGGCCGGTGGCCTCTCATCTTGATGAAGAGACTCAGCTACCACCGTTTCTTCCTAATCCTGATTTAATGGTGGCCGGCCTGGCGGGCAAGGCCTGGGGACCGCACAGACCCCCGCCGGCCCTGCTCCCGTGCTGGGGACTCAGGTTCAGGGCGAAGCGTTCTATCATCACCTGCCTTCGTTTAATGGAAATCCTGTGACAGAAGACTCACGACCTCTTTCACGAGGAGTCTCCCGAGATTTGTCAGTGGGTTCTGGATGGATTTGGGGAGAAGCAGAGCATTCAAGTTACCTGTTCTGCTGACTGATGCTGAAACCTGAAACTTGGGCTGTGAGTGCATCTGGGAAGCCCGCGGCTCACTGCCGGCCACCTCGGGCTGCTGCGTGAGGGAAGGCCCACGCTTGCCCTGTGCACCTGGTCCCCGTGGGGCCTCAGTTTCCCCCTCTGTTAAACAAAGGGTTTGAGGCAGGCGAGGTGTCTCAGGGCCCTGGCCCCCTGACGTGCAGGGGCTCAAGTCCAGGGCAGGATCAGGGACGGTGCCTCCTCCCTGCCGCCCACCCCGCGCAGTCAGAGCCGGAGTCGCCTTGGGTCAGGGCAGAGAGTTGATTTAACCGTTAGTTTCCTGGGTGTGACACATTCAAGTCTATCGAGTTCAGGCTCCAGAAGGTACCCTCCACCTGCCACCTGGATTCCAGAGCTTACAATTCTTGCTCGAAGGACGGCAGTCTTTAAAGTGCCCCTGGGAGCTGCTCCATTTGGGTTCCAGAGGTGACTTGGGATAGAAATGGCGGGCTGCGTTGTTTGGGGGGTTCGTGGGGAGTGCTGAGCGGTCCCTCTGACACCAGGTGAGGGCAGGGGCCGCTGGGCAGTCCCGGGGAGGCTGGCTCGGCTCTGGCCGCAAGGACTCTGCTGGGAGTCCCCGCTTTCTCCAGGCGCCTCCCTAAAACTCAAGTGCTGTTTGAAAAGAGGCAGGGGGCAAACGAGTCCGATTCGGTAGCGCATTGAAAGGTCTGGCCGACTGGAGAGAGAATGGGTTTGGGGATTCGACAGCTGTGCCCCACCTCTTGACTTCCACTAGGGAAGCACAGGCAGGGGCTGGGCCAGCAGGTGGGGATCCAACTTCGCCCAGGAGGCTGGGAGGTGTGCCCGGAGAGGAGGAGGGAAGGGGGGTCGGCAGAGGGAGACGGAGGAGGGGCTGGTGGCTCAGGGGCAGGGCAGCCCAGAACTGCCTGGCTGGCACCCTCTCGCTTGCCCGTCCAGGCCAGGGGGCAGTGCCTCGGATGGTGTGGGCACAGGGGAGGGCGGCAGGAGGCTAGGGGCCCTCCCAGAAGGCCTGTCACTTGTCCGCGTGCTGCAGCAGCAGGTCCACAGCCTCCGCCAGGTTGTCCACATAGCCATCAGCCTTTACTTCCGGGTGGTGCTCGTCACTGGGCCTGCAGAGAGCAGGACCATAGGTTAGTGGATCAGTAACCCCAAGGTGACCCCTGCGAAGCCACTGCCTCCCAGCATCTGGCACAGGCCCGGTCTTGCCCTCGGGAGACCTGCAGGCCCTTCTGTGTCCCATCGGGCAGGCTGGTCTTGGCCAACGGCTGTCCCTGTCCTCCCCACGCCGCAGGCCCGGCCGCCGCAACTCAAGAGCACACACACATCCCTCCTGACTGTCCGTCCACCTAGACTCCTCCCTGTGCCCCTCCCGTTGGAAGCTTGCTTGGAGCCCCGTGGCGGTGACCACTGGCCCCTGCTCCGTCCGTGCTGCCAGCAGAAGGATCACACCTCTGAGAGCAGGGCCCTGAGTTCGGTCCTTCTCTGAGTTTCCTGCCCAAACCCCAGGGGGCTCATGTACCATCTGCTCAGCGCCCGCAGAGGCTGCTCCCACCCAGCAGAGGAAGGCTCCTGGCAAAGCTGCTCTCTGGCTGAGATTTGGGGGGCTAGAAGCTCCCAAAGCCTTCATCCAGGCCCTGCTGGATTCCCTGAGGTCCCGCTGGATGCTGAGGACGAGGGGAGCGAGACCACACGGCACGTGTGGGTGCCTGTGGGGTCCGTGCAGCACCCAGGGGACCCCGTGTGGGTGCTCCATGGTGGGGGCTGCGGGCTGGGTCCTGAAGCAGAGCAGGGCTCCAGGTGGACACATGGAGGCGGAGGAGAACTGCAATGCGGCTGGGGCCCCGGCCACAGGAGGGAGGAGGGGCTCGGGCTGGGCTCCAGGCCACGTCCCCCAGAGTCTTGACAATTGCGGGAGAAAATGGGACCTCATCCCGGGAGCCGGGGGCAGCCTGGAGGGCTGTGAACCGGAGCGTGGGGTCCTGGCGACAGGAAGGGCCGTCCCACTGCTCGCGGGCTGGAGCTCGGCGGGGTTAGGGGCCACTCCGACTACCCCAAGGTCTGACCCAAGCGCCCTGGGAAAGCACTCGGCGCCCTCCCAGCACCGGGCCCTCACCTCGGAAGCCCCCACCCTGGCCTGGAAGGAAGTGGTTGAAGTTGGCTCTGACACCATCATTAAAGTCAAGTTGCCCCTTTGAAGGGTTTGGCATCTATGAAGCACGTGACCCTAAAATGCTGTCCTGGGCAACGGCACCTTTTCTTTTAAAGAGCTTTCAGCCCAGGAGCCTAGAGGCCCCCTCCCCAGGGGCTGCTGAGGCCTGGGACCTGGGCAGGGGTGTAGGGGGAGGGAAGTGTGGACACTCCTTATGACTGAGGAGGGCCCACCTTTGACTCTGCGCGGTCCCCCTTCCTGCTGTAGTCCTCAGGCACGGCCCTCCCACGTCTCCCATCATTTTCTCCTTCCATCCTCGGGGAGGAGGCAGGTGCCCCCCTCTGACAGGTGAGGAAATGGGGGCTCAGCGAGGTTCAGAGACTTGCTCGAGGCCATGCCGCAGGGAGAGCAGAGCCGGGCATCTGACCCGGTTCCTCTGATTCCCAGCGGTACTCTGGGTGCCAGAGCCTCCAAGGGCATGCGCTGCCACTGGGCACTCCCACCCCCTCCAGGAAGGTCACAGTGGGCAGCGCCCACTCCACGCAGAGGCCACCTACAGATGCCAGGGCCGGCAGGCATCGCTCCTCTGGTCTTCTCGAGCGGGGCCACCCTGCGGCTCAGGGATCGACACACTCACAGACAGGTGCCGCGGAGGGTACATGACTCCACCAGAGGTGAGGCCCCAAACATGAGCCTTGGGGACAAGACAAGGGGACGAGTGCACAGGGACCCTCACCACCACCCACAGGATCAGCAGCTCTCTCGTGGCACTGGAGGTACTTTAAGGGATCACTATTTCGTTCTTGCCAGATCCAGACAGTCTATAGTGAATGTGGGAATTAAGACCCACGTTACTCTGCATCAGTGCTGAGACACTCACTTGTTAATAGCGAAAGGTTGTATGTGGCACACACTCCGGAAAACCATGTGGGGACCTACTTGTGACACACAGTTCCACTCCTAGGTGTGCAACACAGCAAAAGCGCATCGACATGTTCACCAAAGACACGTACTAGAATGTTCCGAGCAGCTTCAGTCGCCATAGCAAAAAGGCAGACACTGCACAAATATCCATCAGCGGGAGAACAGAGAGGCAGAGGGTGGTACGTGCACACGTCAGAGCAGCACAGGACACCACCACCCACAGTGAATCACCCGCCACACGCTGCAGCATCTACCCACCCCCCCCCAACAGACGTCACGACGGGCAGGAGAACCAGGCGCGAAGACCCCAAACCAGACCACCTGTTTGTATCAGGTTTGGGAACGGGTACAACCAGCCTCCCGTGCAGAGGCCAGAAGATGGTTCCCTCCTGGGGGAACGGGGTGGGGGTGCTGGCAGTGTTCTAGGTCTTGACCTGGGTGGTGGTTACAGGGGTGGCACATGGCGGAAAATGCATTCTTCATTTTCAGTGCACTTTTTATGCACATAAACATGCATATGTAACACGCTTGAGGTAGATGTTATACCTCGAAAATTTAATTAAAAAGGTCGCATACAATCTCACATATATAAGGTGTCTATCTCCCATCACTGTGGCTATTCTCTATGGCCTATGGGTCACATTCCTCCGGCAGCCTGTTTTCGTACAACCCTTGAGCTCAGAATGGTTTTCATATTTTTAAAACTTTGTAAAAAGAAGAAAATGTGCGACAGAGACCACAGGTGGCCTGCGAGCCTCAACCAGCTGCCTCTTGGGCCTCTGCAACAAAGGCTTGGGGAGCCATGGTCCCGGCTGTCCACCCTCTGTGGGCCCCTTCCTTTCGGTCCTCCCCGCGGCGGGCGCTCACGGCCTCCCGGCCACCCAGGTGCTCTGTGGACAGCCCTTCCTGCGGGAGGGTCTTCCTCCTTGGGAACCCAGGCCTTCCTGGTGTGCAGACAACTCCTCCCCTGTACAGACTGATGGGTGCCCCCTCCCTCGGGTCTTTCCGAAGCAGGTGGGGGAGGGGATAATTCTCTGGGCGGCTCCACCTGAGAGGGGCCGGCCTGGCCCAGGGCACAGCGAGCTGGGCTGGCAGGTGGGCAGGAGGCGCCCTCTGAGAAATGGAGACGGAGCACCTGAATGGGCAGTAAACCCACCCCTGGCAAACCATCTCTCTGCCTCAGTTTGCTCATCTGTGCCCTGAGCGTAACAGGCTCCACCCCTCACCCACCTGGCGACCTTGGGTGAGCACGCACGCCTCCACGCCGCGGCGTCCCTGTCTCTAGATGAAGGTAACCCCGGGAGAAGCGCGGGAGACACGCGAGGCTGGAGGGGCCCCGCAGGCCTCGTGCGTGCGTTCACGGTGATCACAACCCGTGAGGACGCAGTCAGCCGTCAGGCAGGGAGCCTGGCCAGGACCCGGCCTTGGGCCTTGCCCTGGGCGCACAGGCTGCTGGGGCGACAGACAGAGGGACACGCGGATCCACATCAGCACCCGAGGCGCAGGGAGGACAGTGAGTTTGGGGGGTGGGGGTGGGGTGGGCGAGTGTAACCACAGGCACTGCCAGCAGGCGGGGCAGGGAGGCCGGGACCCTAGGGGACGTCCCAGTGGCGGTACCAGCGCCCTGGCCCCCTGGCCCGTGGTCTTGCCTCGTGCTGGCCTGTGTGCGTGAGGCTGCAGCCCTGCATGGCCCGGGATGCGTCCTTATGGGTCTCCCTCAGCTGCCCCTGGGGCTGGAGGGCAGCCCCGAGGCCCGGCTCCCCCACGGGGCAGTGCCCCAGCCACCACTCAGGAGGGGGTTGTCAGGGGAGGGGGACATCTTCAGGCTGCACCTTCCCAGGCGCTGACAGCCCTTGTCCCCACTCTGTGCCCCCTCCCACCAGTTCCCATCAGATTCCTGACTTTTCTCTCCTCGACAGTGAGGCCAGTGGCTGCTCAAAGAACCGGAACTTCTCCCAGCAAACCCCCCCCACCCCCCAACCCCGATTCGTCATCCCCGTCATCCCCTGGGCAGCTGGCCCAGGACTGTCCTCCTCAGACCTTCACTGGCCCTTGGGCCAGGTTTACTGTCCAGTCAAACGAACTCCACCCCAAGAGGGAAGAAAAAATCCGCCCATAAAATATGCTTCATAGGGCTTCCCTGGTGGCACACGTGGTTGGGAGTCCACCTGCCGAGGCAGGGGACACAGGTTTGTGCCCCGGTCCAGGAGGATCCCACATGCCGCAGAGCAGCTGGGCCCGTGAGCCATGGCCGCTGAGCCTGCGCGTCCGGAGCCTGTGCTCTGCAACGGGAGAGGCCACAACAGTGAGAGGCCCGCATACAGCAAAAAAAGAAAAAAGAAAAAGAAAAAGAAGATGCTTCATAATGAGATTCAAGGCGGCCCCAGCGAACGGTACCAAGCCGAATGGGTACGTGGCTAATTACGTTTAATTACATATCATTTAAATTCAAGAATCCATTAAAAGAAAGGATTGCATTAGCAGCCGGCCGCTGTTTGCCAACAGAGGAAATCGTGGACTTTCATGTCTTAATTACGTGATGCTGCTGTGGGCTGTGGCTCTCAGGGAGCCGGGGTACATGGAGGGGACTCATCCTGGGCCCGCCCCCCTCGAAGCCCCCGAGACAGCTATGCATGGCCTGACTGGGCAGGAGAGGCCTCCACTGCACGCTGGCCAGTGACCTGCAACCCGTGGGGCCTCCAAGATGTCACACTACAGAAGCTGAACCAAGAAACCCAGCAAGCACATGCCCTCTGGCAGTGGGAACAGAAACAGAGGGCAATGGACAAAGGGGCCAAGAGACGCCCCTGGCTTTGAGCAGGCCCTGCCAGGACAGGGCTGCACGCGTGGGGCAGGAAGGGGAGAGGCGGGCACGGCTGGGCCGGGAGGGCTGAGACGGGAGCGGGGAAGAGACAGACAGGCAGACAGAGGACACAGAGAGACACACACACTCAGGAAGAGAGACGGAGGGAGGGAGGGAAGAGAGAGGGTCAGACAGGCAGACAGAGGGGGAGAAAACAGAGCAGCAGAGGAAAG